GTGGCAGCAGACGGGTAGAAGGGCACCGTATCCAAGGTGGGATTCCCGCTCTACATGCGGCCTAGATGGTAAATAAATGAAAAATGTCCAACTCAGAGACAACACGGTCTCAGAGATCTCAGAGATGCAAAGAGCTGTGGGGCAACGTGAGCCAAAGTGTTGGCTGTGACAGGGTTGCAAGAGAAACTAGTTAGAAGAAAAAGGTTTGTTTCGACTGAGCTTCAGTTATTGTTGGTTCTTTAGCTTTGAGCTTAAGAAAAGGTAGAATATGATTCAAGCCACCTTCTTTATTGTCAGCCAGGAAGCAAAAAGAAAGGACTGCTAACAAAATTTGCTTTTTTTAGGGCACACCTCCAGGGTCACACCTCCAGGGGTCACGCCTCCAGTGGCCTACACCTTCCACTCCTTTTCCACTACCTCCCAGTAACGTCGCCCAATTACAAATGCATTGATGAATGGATTAATCCAGATGAGTTGAGAGTCTTCATGGCTCAATCACATCCCTGCTATGCAATGATCTTTCTGTACACTGTGTAAATTATGCTGTGGTTGGTTTAATAAAGAAGCAGATTGGCCAATTGCTGGCCAGGATAAGGTTAGGTAGGAAAACGAGAATAAGGACAATGGGAAGAAGAATCAGCAGTCAGAGGAGTTGCCAGTGAGACATGGAGAGGAAACAGGAGATAAAAGCAGGATAATGCCATGTGACTGAAGGGAGATTAATATAAATCAGTTTAAGTTATAAGAGCTAGTTAGTAATAAGCCTGAGCTATTGGCTGAGCATTTATAATTAAAAGTGAGTCTCCATGTGGGTTATTTGAGAACTGGAGGGCAGGAAAGAAACATCTGCCTACACATCCCCAAAGCCCATTACCTGGCATCCAACCTGTAAACCATGAGTTTTCTTTGGAGAACATTTTAGATTCCAGCCAGAACAAAGGAAGGCAATTAAGGACACCAGCAAAGATGTAAGCCATCGCCATTGGGCTCAGTTCATTCCACATCCAGAAGTGTGTGTGTGTGTGGGGGGGGGTACTTTCTGTTTTCACTTTTGTGTCCCCTAAAAGTAAACTCTGATTTTTTAAAAAAGTAGAAATCATACAGGAAAAGGAGGAATTCAGGAGCCAGAAAGTGTAATGGATGTAAGGAAGAACATGCCAGCGGGGGTTACAGTGGGGTCAGACGTGAAGAACCCATCCTAAAGGGCAGGCTGCTGCCATGACTGAAGCAGAGAAACAGCAAGAAAAAGAGGGATTAGCTGGACAGCTTAGGGGATCCGGCTGTGTTCAAGCACACAAAGAGAAAGGGAAAAAGAGTAATGAAGAAACACCATCTGAAAATCCACCACATTTGATAAGTAGATGATAAACTCATAGACTCCACATTATATCACATGGTCAGAAGTCAGAACAGAGAGGAGGAGGGGCCTGGTCGGGGATCCTCAGAAACCACCACACAGCTTCCCCAGAGACCGTGAAAGTCAGGATGGGATTGGTAATTCCAAGTGTGTAGAGAGAGAGAGATCACTCTCAAATTTATGGAAGGCTTCTTTTCTGTTTTCTTTCTTTCTTTTCCCCACTAGGCAAGTAGAGTTACGGGGAGTCCTTTGGGTTGAAATGAAATTAGATAGAAACCCAAAACCATCTAATCGGGTGCCTTAGAGGGCCTACATTTAATCCCCAAGACCCGCATGGTGGGAAGTGAGAATTCTCTCACTGTAATACTTGTTCTGTCTCTTTGAGAGACAAGCCAGGCCCACTCCTTCCCCCACCTGCTGAGACAGGCTGATCTTCAGCTTTCAGCCTGGAGGTCTCTCTTTTCCATCTTCCTCTCGGAGAGGCAGCTTCTGTCTCTCCCTTCTCTCTCCTCTTTCCCCTCGCTCTCTCCTTCTCCCTTCCCCCTCCACAACCCACCAAATAAATATCCAATCTCACTCTGCATGATGTGTCAACCCATGTCTCTGTCTCTTGCCCACTGCTGCATGTCTCTCTGCCGTAGACCAGCCACTGCTCAGGGACCTGCAGCCATCCCTGCCTGGAACTGGCTGCTCTCAGGGTTTGCTGCCTGCCGCTACATGGCCTGCTGCCACCACTGTGGATCCTGCAGCATTTTTATTAATCCATTTCATTGGTGCCATGAGTCAGAGAGGCTCTCCCACCCCGAGTTCCCCTCCTGGGGTCAGGATCCTGAACCAGGTATTTTTTTCCACGACAACCACGTGTTCCATCTGCCTGAGCATGATTTCTACAGTGTGATTTCGACTCACACCACCGGCTTCGATTGGCGAGTTTTCCCCATTCTGGTCAGATTAACCATTTCTCTGAACCTGAGGAACTGACCGGTGAGCTTCTGGAAATCTTCTGGTGTTCCTAGAAATGGAGGGACAACACCCAACCATGGTCAGTTGAACCTTTTGTTGACATGCATCACTGGATTGTTTCCCTTAGCTAAAATTGTGACTGAAATGACCCAGGGTCAGTCCTCCCGTGCTAGCGCTGCACACTCTGTGTGGTGCATTGGACTGGGGGCTCAGGGTCCCTCATATTTGTAGGGATAAGACAGCCCATTGGGGGCGGGCTTGCCTCGGGCGAGCGTTTACTTATAAATTGGGTGTGCAGAAGTCTGCGAGCCCCTTCCTGTTTCCTGTACTCCGCGGGAACCTCGGTTTTGTGAGTCTGATTTTTCCATTAAAGTTGTATATACTTATCACAATTTGTCTGCATTAATCTAAGCCGCCACATTTTGGCGTCCAACGTTGGGGCAGATTTGCCCCCGCCCCGGCACCGGGTTGCGGTCACCACAGCGCACAGGCCCGGCCCGCGCCAGCCCGCCTGCTCGCCCGCCCGCCCGCCCGCCCTAGTGCCACCAGGCCCCGCCCGGGCAGCACTTGAGGCTGCCGGGGGTCCACCGCGCCCATCGCAGCTCCCGAGCCACCCGCAGGCCCCGCGCCTTTTTTTTTGGCCGAGTGGTGGAGGTACACACATTTTCCAGCACTGGGGAGGCAGAGGCAGGCGGATCTCTGTAAGTTCGAGGCCAGCCTGGTCTACAAGACTAGTTCCAGGACAGCCAGGATTACACAGAGAAACCCTGTCTCAAAAAAACAAAAACAAACAAACAAAAAAAGTCGTGCTTTTGGTATCCAAAGTGAGAGAAGGCAGTGCCTGCACACAGTTCTTTCTTAAATCTAATTTAGACCAGCCTTCCCGGGTGAGGACTCACCTTGCACCTGGGGCCACTCCGGCGTCTCAGACTTCTGCTCAACTTTTCTTTCTTAGATTAGGGATGGGGACAAGGGAAGAACAAGTTCTGCTTAAGAAAAGCACCTGTTGGGGGCAGGGAGGTCCTAGTAAGAACCAGAGCCCCTGCCCCTCTTACAGACCTGCATTTGTAAGGCCAGGAAAGAGGAAATGAGGGAGGCTCTAGGGAGCAGAAAACTGTGGTTAGCCACTGTTGCCAGGGTTGCTGGGTTGCTAGGGAAGTTGAGCTTGCAGTGGGACCACCCTGTGCCACCCTGGGTGTTTCAGTAGGCAGGTGGTGGTGACAGTCAGGGTGTCGGCTAAGGTGGCAGACGATGATGGACAAAACGATGTCCCTAGAGCTAACATTTCCTGCCTTTTGTTTTGTGAAGAGCTGGCAGAGCAGCGGGCCAGACCTGAGGCTCAGTTTTCAGAGGGCTGCTTTGGGTTGAACTGAGATGCTAGCGTCTTTGGAGAAGGCAGATGCTGTCAATGTCCCTGCTAAAGGATTTCAGTCGCTATGAGACAAAGGGGTTAGGTAGTTCAGATTTTACTTTTATTCTATGTGTGTGGGTGTTTTACCTATGTGCACAGCATGCCCTTGGAGGCCAGAGGAGGACGTTGGATCTCTGGAATGGAGTTGCAGATGATAGTTAGGTATCATGTGAGTGCTGGGAACCAAAGCTCAGTCCTCTGAAAGAACAGCAAGCGCTGGGCCCTGCTGAGCTATTTCTCCAGCCCTGGGCCGTTTAAAGCACAGGGTGCGGGTGCTGGAGAGAGGACGTAGGTTGCTCCTGCAGAGGACCGGAGTTCAGTTTCCAGAGCCCATGTAGGGTGGCTCACAACCATGGATGACTCCAGTGCCCTCTTCTAGCCTCCTGGAGCATCATACACACATGTGTATACACATGCAGATGCACTCACGTGCACAGAAATGAAAATAAATGTATTTTTTTTCAAGGCGAGGTTTCTCTGCGTAGCCCTGGCTGTCCTGGAGCTCGCTCTGTAGGCCAGGCTGGCCTCGAACTCACGAGATCCGCCTGCCTCTGCCTCCCGAGTGCCGGGATAAAAGGGGTGCAACCCCCACTCTCCTCACCCCAGCCCTAAACAAGACTTTTTGCACCACCTTTTTGATGCGAAAGGTCTTCCTGGCATCAGTAGGAAAACCTAGCCCACTTCCGGACTTTTGTTCAACCTGCCCCTCCAGGCCTCGTGGGAGGCACTGATCCTTTTTTTTTTTTTGAAGAGAAAATTTACACTTCCATATCATTGTTCATCATAAAAATAAGTCCGGGTAAACATGGCAGAAACCTGGAGGTAGGAGCTGATTCATAAGCCTTGGAGGTACTGCTTACTGCCCAGCTTCACATGGCTTGCTCAGCATACTCTATTTTTCTTCTTTTTAAAGAGTTTTTTTAATTTATTTATTTCTTTATTAATTAATTAAAGATTTCTGTCTCTTCCCCACCGCACTGATACTTTCAAAATGAGTCCGGCCTCATGCAGATCTGCATTCCTGATCCCTCTGCCGGGTCTGGAAAAGAGGAAAATGACCTTGCGAGAGTGGACAAGAGGGCAGGAAGACGCCAGGGTCTACAGGGAACCAGCACGCTTTCTCCCGTCCGCCTCCCGGTCCTCCAGCTGCCTAGAGAGACCGGCAGGGGATTGGCCAGGCGGCTTGATGACGCATTTCCGGGCGTGATCTTTAAAACCCGAGGGTGCGGCTGGGGAGGGTCAGTCTGTGTGGTCGTCCACGTGCTCCGGTGGCGGCCTGAACCTCGGTAGGTTGAGGGGTGGAGTAGGTGGAGGTCGCCATGTGGAAAGAGGCCGCTGTGAGGGGAGAGGCCGCCGTGGGGAGAGAGGCCGCTGGCCTCCGAGAGGGGAGGCTGCAGTGAGGGGGAGTAGGTGGGAAGGCTGCCATTGGTGGAGGGGAGGCGGCATTGAGGGGAGAGCCTGCCCTTGGTGGAAGAGCCCCCCCCCCCAGTGAGGGTGTGTGTGTGAAGTGGGGAGGACGCCATGAGGGGGAGAGAGACCGCCATGGGGGGTGGGGAGAGGCTGCCATAAGGTAGGGGGCTGGGAAAGGCCACTGCATGCCTGGGACAGGAGGACAGCTGAGGTGCAGGCGGGAAGAGGCCACTGCAGGTCCCAGGGCAGATTGCTCTCCTTGAAGGCCCTGGCAGAATGAAGCAGGCGGACCTGAGGTGCAGGACGAGGCTGGTGGAGGACGTGGCATGTTTTTAGGGGTTATCACCCATTACTGTCCTGTGGAACCCGAGTGCTGCTGATCAGCCTCTGGATGGCTTTAAATACACTTTGAGTCCTTTGAGTGCTCCCTGGAAATTGGTTTGTGACAACTTCATTTGCCTGGCATGATCAAAACAGAGCTGCCCAAAAATATGAGACTTCTGTAAGGATGAGCCATGCACTTGGCTCCAGCTCCAGGGATGCAGCTGGTCTGTTGCTATTCAGCAACTCACAAACCCCATTTAACTGCTGGGCCTCCTGAAAGAGCCAGAGTTTTCTTATGCTGAGTCAGTAAGCCTACTGTTAAAGGAACTGTGGCAGCCCCTGGCCACCGCCAGCAAACAGAGCCCATCCAAAAAAATGTGGTCACTAAGTAGCCGCGCTCAACTCTGCTCTCCTGGTCTGGAATATCTTTTTAAACTTAGGTTTTATATGGATGTAGTTGCCCCATGTTGGGTGCCAATAGCTTAAGCATATTCTTTGGTAATTCTTAACCCATTTCAATTAATCTGTATATCACTATGAGGTGTGGCCTACCGGCAAGGTTCCAACATTCTCCAGAAGGCATCTTTTTCCTTCGGCAGCTATGGTGTCTCTCTGATTCTGCCTACTTTCTCCTCCATCTCTGCTTGGTATTCCCACTTTGCTCTAAGTAAGCTTAGTGATTCCAAGTAGCTTCTTTATTCATTAACCAATAAAAACAACACATATACAGAAGGACTTCCCACATCAATAAACTATCTTTGGTTCTTCAAGACAGGGCTTCTCTTTGTAGCTGTAGGTTCTGGCACTCTGTAGACCAGGCTGGCCTCGAACTCATAGAGATCTGCCCGTCTCTGCCTCCCAGGTGCTGGGATTAAAGGTGTGCACCACCACTGTCCAACTCTAATAAAATAACTTTAAATTATCTGACTTGTACTACTAAAAAGACAGACACTGTTGTAAGGAGCGGCGGGGCTGCGTCCCCAGTGCCCAGCTGCCCGCTCTGCAGTAAGTGGAGCCGCGGGCTGCTTCCCGCCACCCGGCTAGCTTTACCCGAAATAATTACACAGAAACTGTATTCTTATAAACACTGCTTGGCCATTAGTTCTAGCCTCTTATTGGCTAATTCTCACATCTTGCTTTAACCCATTTCTAATAATCTGTGTACCACCACAAGGTGGTAGTTTACCAGTAAGATCTTAACCTGCGCCTGTGTCGGGTGGGAGAATCATGGTGACTGACTGACTCGGCTTCTTTCTCCCAGCATTCTGTTCTGTCTACTCCACCTACCTAATTTTCTGTCCTATCAAAGGGCCAAGGCAGTCTCTTTATTTAACCAGTGAAATCAACACAAAACAGATGACTCTCCTCCATCAAGACACTATTGTCAAGTAGCATGGGGAGAGGCTGATTCTGAGGTCTATTCAATGGGTTTCATGTGTATAACTCATTCCTCTCTGTATCTGGGTTCTATGATCCTGTTTCAAATGCTTGTTTCTCTGATGAGATCATTACATTCTATTCATTGAATTTTCAACTTTACCTCCTTTCCTTGGTGTTGTCTCTGGATAACTGAAATTATAGTTTTAATAGTACATATTATCTATACATTTCTTGAATGATCTTATTCTTCCATTTTGCATCTTCCAATGTATCTGCTGTCTCATGTTTGCTAAGACTAGGATTGTTTGCAGGAGAAGTCAAATAGAGTTACTATCACTAATAGTTTCTCTGTTTACCTTCAGGTCCTGAAATTTTTGAGCCTGTATTAACTACAGGACTAAAAGAATTTATGATGGAAAATATCTCTGTACAACCAGAGCCTAAGGTAAGCTGGATTGCCTTTGGTTCTGTCCATATATGTGTGAGTGTACAATGATATATGCATGTATATGTACATGTACACATGTATATGTAAATTTATACATCCAAGCATGTGCCTGTATTTGCACTTACATTAATATAGTTTAGAAATTTCTCACTGAGGTTTCACTTATGTTTTAACTGTGTAGCTCACTTTTTCGAGACACAGACATTCGTATGCTATCACTTATGTTAATACTTTAAAACGTTCCATTTTATGCCCTTTCCTAAGCCTCTGGGATTGCCCATCTCCCAGCACTGGGGTTACAGATAGCTGCCCCCATGCCCCACTTTTATATGGTGCTGGCATCTAAAGTCAAGTCTTCATTCCATGAAACTAGAATTCTATTCACTGGGCCATTTTTCCTGCCAGAAGATACCCTCCCTCTGTCCTTCCTCCCTCCTTCTGCACTGGGCGCTGAACCCATGGCTCTGTACACACTGGGTGTTCTGACTAGCTTGATGTCAACTTGACACAGCTAAAATCATTTGAGAGGAGGGAGTTTCAATAGAGAAAATGCCTTTATAAGAACTGGGCTGTAGCCAAACCTGTAGGGCATTTTCTTTTTTTATAGAGTATAGGATTTAATACACGTGAAGCCTAGTAAAATTATTTTTCAGAACCTAAAAGTAATAAAAAACCTAATCATATATAAATGAATATAAATATAATGAGATTTGAATAGTGAATATTTTGAATATTCTTTTGAATATTTGGTTTTTTAAATTTATTTATTAAAAATTTCCACCTCCTCCCCTCCTTCCATTTCCCTTTCACTCCTCCCCCTCCCTCTGCATTCCTAAGAGAAGTCAGGGTTCCCTGCCCTGTGGGAAGTCCAAGGCCCTCCCCTCTCCATCCAGGTCTAGGAAAGTGAGCATCCAAACAGATTAGGCTCCCAAAAAGCAAGTACATGCAGTAGAATCAAAACCCAATGCCATTATCATTGGCTTCTCATCAGCCCTCATTGTCAACCACATTCAGAGGGTCCGGTTTGATTACATGTTCATTCAGTCCCAGTCCAGCTGGCCTTGGTGAGCTCCCATTAGATCAGTTCCACCGTCTCCGTGGGTGGACGCGCCCCTCACGGTTAGTGATTGATGACAGAGGGCCCTGGCTATTGAAGGTGGTACCACCTGTGGACTGGCAGCTCTGGGTTATATAAGGAAGCAGCCTGAGCAAGCCATGGGGAGCAAGCCAGGAAGCAGCGCCCTCCATGACCTCTGCTTTATCTCCTGCCTTTGGGTTCCTGCCATGTTTGGGTTCCTGTCCTGACTTCTTTAATGATGGACTGATGTGGAAGTGTAAGCCACATAAACCCTTTTCCTGCCCAACTTGCTTTGCTCATGGGTTCCATCACAGCAGTACTAATCCTAAGACCCTAGGCAAGCATTCTACCAGGGATCTACTCCCCGTCTTTTCGTGTATGTGTGTTTGAAGTACTAGATCATGGAAGATCCGTTTGGTTGGTTTCATTACATGCTGTACAGAAGTTTTCTAAAACAGCCTTTCCAGTTTGTGCTTTTTATACCCCCTCAGTGTTATCCAGTTGCTCCCGTGATTGTCTGATGTCTAGGAGGGCTGTTTGTCATTTCAGATTTTTGAAGACATGGCTGTGTACTTCACAGAGCAGGAACTGGCCAGCTTGACACTTGACCAGAAGGCCGTGTACAAGGATGTGGTGCTTGAGAACTTTACACATGTGGCTTTACTGGGTAAGGTTTCTGGGCCTCAGGGTGAACGGCTTGCTTACAGTTATTAGCCAACTTGAAATGGTAAATGTGTAGCTCACTTTGCAAGCCACTGCATGTAATCTGTCATACATAATGGATCTCATTATGACATTCCATACACGAGTAAATTTATTTTTGGTCTTATTCTCTACCCTGTCGCCCTCACACAGGGACTACCTTTTGCCTTCCCAACTCTTCCCATCTGCTTTCATTTTTTAGAACTTTGTGTGTGTGTGCCTGAGTTTGTGTTTTATACATTAAAATGCTTTTACTTAGAGGGATATTTAGAATAAAACTCTGGTTATGTGTGTGCCGTCACTTCCGTGCTCTCCCAGCTTTGCATTTACACCTTTGGTATAGTGTTGTCTGTGTGGTAACACATAGAACAGGAAAATTATTTTTGCATTTCATGATGACATTAAAATTGAAAAAATATTTTATATTGAAATATGTAAAGGTGGCTTACAGACACTGACTTTTCCTCCCCTCTAGGGTACCTCGCAAAAGTAAAACAATATTTTCAACTGACTGCCGAAGCAGAGTCGTCCAGGGTGAAGGCCTTTCTCTAAGTCAGCTGTGCTGGAAGACAGACAGAGGAGGCGAGGTCAGGGCCCTGTCCCTGCTGTCAAGTGCAGTGTTTTCTGTAGCCAGGCGCATTTCCATCCAATAGATGTATTATTGCTCTTAGTTCATTAAGTTGTGCATTATAATGTGCAAAGCAGACACTTGAGTCCTTTTTAAACAGCTTTATGAAGATAGAATGCACAAACCATACATTTATTTAAAGTGAAATAAAAAATATTTCTCAGCAGGCAAAGAAAAATTATAAGGGGGTAGAAACGGACTTTGAGGATTAGTCAGCGATCTGCAGAATGTGACGTCTAGCCCATTTTAAGTTTGGGCTGGAGTCCAGAGAAAAAGAAGTTCCTTTGACCAAATGGTGTGAATACTGACACAGAATTCCACAAATTGATCTTAAGACTCTGAAGCTAAGCTTTTCCGGAGGAATACTCAGAATTGAAGGTAGCTCTGGATGCTACGGTCTCTGAACAAAGTTGGGATTGACTGAGAAGTCAAGGGCTGTAACAAAATTCTGAGTTAGCCCTCATCTCCTTCTGTGTGTTCTTTATAAAGTATTATTCTGCAGAAATCCGTTTGGCTGCTATTGTTCAGAGTGTCATTTCCCCAAGTCCAGCTCTGCTCCTTCCCTTCGGTTCTGACACAGTTGGGAGTTAGGTGTAGTTATATCTCTTTCCCAGCTTACTTGGTAAGTTGAGGCAGGAGGATTATTTGAACTCACTTGTTTAAGACCAGTCTAGACAATGTAATCATCACCACACCCTTGGTCAAAAAAAGCCCCCCCAAAAAACAAACAAACAAAACTTTTGAACTAAGTTTAAAATTTAAAAAAAGGAAAAAAAAACAGAACAAAAAGTTAAAATCACAGAACAGCGAAGTACCACCCAATGCCTTGGACACCGGGAGCTGTACACCCTTGGGCCTAAGAGTGGACACCACTACAAAGAAATATGTGAAGGAAAGCGGGCAAGTTATTAAAATAGCCCACTCTTGAGAGAGGGGGACTGAAGAGGTGGTGGCAGTTGCAGTTTCCTGCCCTCGTGGAGCTTGGAGTTGCTGAAGACATCCAGACAGGCGGTAGCGATAAGTAGGATTGACTCGGTGCCAAAAGAGACTGACTCCGGTGAGATTCGGCTCTCAGCACTTCTTAGAGGAAGCCCGTGCATGAGAGACACTGGAGAGGCTGGCACAGGCAGGTGGGCACCACTGTGATCAAAGGCATGGTGGAGAGAAGGCAGAGAAAGAAACGGATCCGTTGGAGCCCCGTGAAGAGAGGACGAACAGGCAATGCGAGAGTGGAGAGAACAGCCTGATGTGAGCAGCCAGCGCTACCCGAGGCCGTGGAAATGGCTGGGCCTGTGCTGCCTCAAGGGCCATGTTGATGTCCAAGGACTGCACAGAGTTGTCCCCTTGGCCCCCAGCATGCCTGGGCATCGTGGGAGAGCTGATCCAACCCCTTGTTGACTGCAGCACTCAGGAGAGATGCCCTGCACCTTGCCTGGGCAGCACGGTAGAGCTGGCCCTGGTGGTGTGGGCACAGGAGAGCTGACCCCGCCCCAGCCCATGGGAGAGCTGGCCTTGGTGGTATGAATGCAGGAGAACTGGGTGACGATGAACTCAGCAACCACCCAGGCCCAGATCGAGGGCTTTGAGTTGGTCCACCCCAACTCTACCCATCTAAGAACTGCTGGATCACGTGAAGGGGCCTGCCCTACAGAACCGAGGCTCAGGATCTCCATGACACAGGGCAGCAACAGGATATCCGAGAGGAGTCCCAGTGAGGATCCAATATTGATGGCGTAGTGGAAACCAGAAATGACTCACTGCAACAAACATTTGCAAGCAAAGCCGTTTGGGCAAAACCAAGACACCACAGCTTCCACGGCGACATTTTTTTTTTCCATTTTTTATTTTCATTGTTCATTGCAGGGGAGATCGCAAGAGTGGAGGACAGATACAGAGGGATGGGAGATGAGTGGCATTAGAGCACGGGATGTTAAATTCACAAAGAATCAATAAAAAGTTTTTTTTAGTTAAAATACCTACTGGTCTCTATGCATATTTGCTCCAAATCCCCAAGGAGCCATATATCGTCGTGCTTGTTCTGCATTTAGGTATCTGTAGTGTTGAGAATCACTGCATTTAGTTTAAAAATACTGTTTTGGAAAACTATTGTGAATGAACATTTATAAATACATTTAGAGATAGTTCAGTGTTAGTTTCTAGACAAAATACTGTTGGATGAATACCAAAGTGACCAGGCTGGAAACAGCCATTTCAGCAGCGTGATTCATAGAACGTGCAGGTTCACGCAACTGCTTTTCCTGAAGACATTTGGATTATTAAGACTTGGTTGTTAACTAGTTGATGCTTAATCTTGATCATTGTTTTGGTGGGCTCTAGAGTCAGGATGGAAACCTGGGTACATCTGTGAGTGGATTTCCTTCGTTAGGCTCAGTGGGGTGTGGGTGGGGTTCTGGACTGAGCTGGAGAAATCTGGGCACCAGCTGGCTCATTGCTTCTTCTCAGGTGCAACGTGGCCAACTGCCTGGCATTCCTGCTGTTAGCACTTGCTGACATGGTGGACTGTACCCCAAATCTGGAGCCAGACAAGCCCCTTTTAAAGTTGCTTTTGTCTGCATAGTGAGAAAAGTAATAAATTGGTACCAAAAGTAGGGCTATTGCTTTGACAAACCCGACCATGTGGCTCTTAGGCCTTCGGAACTAACTGGTTTGCATGAGGGATCTAGAAGAATTTGGAAGCCTGGGGCAGAAATGCCCTAGACCTCTGAAGCAGAGGCTAATGGGTATTCTTGTGGGATTTAGAAGGCTATAGTGCTGAGCGAAATGCGGATAGTGCAGGCCTATTTATATTTCAGAGCGTGAACAAGTACTCCATCAGGAACTGGGCTAAAAACTATTTGGTAAATTGACAGAATCTTCTTCTGCTCATGTCCTGGGAACTTGAGTGGGGCTGAATTTAGGAGTACAGGGCTAACTTGGTGGCAGAAATTGTGAGGGAAGATGGCATCTGATGTGTGGCGTGGATACGTCTCTTGTCCAGGCCTGCAGACAGCAAAGAGTGGAACAGAAAGATGGAAAACGCAGTTTAATGAGGAGACCGTTTGTTAGAGATGAGGCAACTTCGAAAATAGCTGTGCAAATATTAAAGAGAGCACCTGTCATTGTTAAGAGAAAAGTAGCGCAGACAGCAGTAAGGTATCCTGAGGGCAGAACCCTGCTCACTGAAACCTAGGGAAAGGAGAAAGCACATCATAAACGCCACTGAGTGCCCTGCTCAAAACCAAAGCTTAGGGATGTGTTTCTGCACGGTTAGCATGCAAGGCCAGTGAACTGTGGGCTAAGAGTCCCAGGCTCCAGCCCTAGGTGGCAGCAGAACTTAGCACCATCGTCTCCATGTTACTGGTTTTGCAGGCATGAAAGATGGGAGAATGTGGGAGAAAAGGAAACGGAAGCAGGGTCGAGATTCCCGACAATCGGCAGAGAGGACGCTCCGTGAAGCTGTGACAGTAAAGACGAAGTTACAGCAAATCTGAGATGTTAGACATGTCGGAATCATGACACTCATCCAAGAAAAATGCTAGCATGAAGTAGAGTTGGCCCGAGAGGCTGTGGGTGCTCAGGCAGCAGAGCTGGAGAGAGGACTGCCAAAGCCCACTGGAGCCCAGGATGATCCGCCACAAGTCCTATGTGCCAGGCATAGGGAACGGCAGAACCTGGAGTTTGCCCTATCTGATGAGAATGTTTGCTTATCTCCACCCCCCCCTGGAATGGGGGCTATGCTGTGCCCAGCACACAACTTAGATTTTACAGGACCTCAACTGACACCCAGCAGCTTAGCTCCCAGGATCATATAACCCAGGGAGTCTCACCAAAAACCTTGGAGGAAAGAAGAATATTTTATAACAAATTCTGATGCATACTTCAAAGATCCAGTGATAGGGGCTGGAGAGATGGCTCAGTGGTTAAGGGCATTGCCTGCTCTTCCAAAGGTCCTGAGTTCAATTCCCAGCAACCACATGGTGGCTCACAACCATCTGTAAAGAGGTCTGGCACCCTCTTCTGGCCTTCAGGCACATACACAGACAGAATATTGTATACATAATAAATAAATAAATAAATAAATAAATAAATATTAAAAAAAAAACAAAGATCCAGTGATAAACATTCACACACACACACATACCCTTGGGTTGCTATGATATGCTTAAAGAAATGGGCCTTGGGACTGGAGGGATGGCTTAGCAGTTAAGAGCACTGGCTACTGTCTTGGTTACTTTTATATCGCTATGAAGAGACACCATGACCAAGGCAACTTATAAAAGAAAGCATTTAATTGGGGTCTTTGAGAGGGTGAGTCCATGACCATTATGGTGGGGAGCACAGTTGCAGGAGGGAGGCATGCTGCTGGAGCAGGAGTTGGGAGCTTGCATTCTTGTCTGAAAACAGGTGGGGGAAGGAGAGGAAGAGAGGAGAGAAATGGCCTCAAAGCTCACAATTCCTCCTGGTGTAGGAGGTCTTTCTGCCTTTGTGTTGTGTTCATTGGTTAGTAAAGAAACTGCTTTGGGCCTGATAGGGCAGAACTTAGGTAGGTGGAGAATACAGAACTGAATTCTGGGAGGAAGAAAGCAGAGAGAGAGCAGCCATGGATCCTCTACCTGAGACAGATGCTGGTTAGAATCTCTGATAAGCCACTGCTACATGGCAATATACAGATTAGTAAAAATGGGCTAAATCAAGATGTAAGGGTTAGCCAATAAGTTAGAGCTTAATGGGCCAGGCAGTGTTTTAATTAATAGTTTCTGTGTGGTTATTTGAGGTGTAAGCTAGCCGGGTAGCTGGGACAAACAAGCAGGCCCTCTCCCCTTGCAACACCCTCCAACAAGGCCACACCCCGTAATCCTTTCCAAACAGATCCACCAGCTCAGAACCACACATTCAATATATGAGCCCTTGGGGGCCTTGCTCATGTTAGCCACAACATGCTCATGCATAGGACCCAAGTTTGGCTCCCAGCCACTCACAGCTGCCTATAATTCCAGTTCCAGGGGATCTGATAGCCTTTCTTGGCCACTGTGAGCTACTGTATATACATGGTACACATAAATTCAAACAGCACACGTGTAAAAAAGAAACCTTTAGAAATGGGCCTTGTAGAATCCATGCCTTGATCTTGTAGATGGAGAATAAGATCTGGTTCTGTTTTACTTCAGGGATTGGCCTGGACCTGGGCTTCAACTATGTCCTCCCTCCCTCCCTCCCTCCCTCCCTCCCTCCC